GAGAGATGAAAGACTTCACCATCACCTGTGGCAAAGTAGATGCTGAAGACCCTCAGGAACACGTTCATATTCAGTGGGTAGAAGATGATAAAAACTTTAATAAGGGGTAAGTAGAGGAACACTTGATGTTGGTTAAAAATTTTAAGTGAGGCACATGAGTAAGTGAGGCACAATTGTAAGGCACATGAGTCTTCAAATCAATAGGAATTAAAAGTCTGCACCTCTGTTTTGAGTGATAAGATGCAATTAATTGTAATGAAAATGGAATTGAGATACCAGAGCTTGGGACATAAATTTAGAATATTGGCAGTGCTATGGATTTTTTTTGGCATTGCCAAAATCCAGTTATTGGAAACTACTTACCTGTCTCCAGCTCTCAGTGCTGAACCCTGCACATTGTGGTCACTTTGCTCTGTTGGTGCTTAGTTTGCATTAAGTAGAGCTGGAAACAAAATTGCTGAACATCAACTGTATCTTTGGACACTTGATAGTTAAGCCAAAAGGAAGGTGGATTTGGCAGCTGAAGTATTTATGGCAGTAAAGTGCTGTTGTGATGGATTCCATATTTCAGGGCTCAGCACCTAGAAAGGATATTTCTGTAGTTTCAGGCTCTCCAGATCAATCTTAGGTTCTGCAATCAAGTCCTGGGCTGTGTAAGTTGTGTTTCAGGTATTGATGGCCTACACTGAGTTTACACAGGGGCAAAAATCCAACCTGTATGAAACACCTCATTACTCTGTCAGAACCTTACAGGATCTCAGCTCTGCTGCAAAGCTTTGTTGGAAACCTTCCAGGAAGGTCCTTCTGCACCTGCGTTACGCATGTCACCCCTTTCAGGAACTGCCCTTTGATTCCAAGGTCATTCTCTTCTGCAGAGGGTCTTGTGCTGAGCCAGAGCTCACCCTCCTCCCTCCCTTTTGCAGCGTTGTGAGCCCCATTGATGGCAAATCCATGGAATCTATAACCAGTGTGAAGATATTCCACGGCTCTGAGTACAAGGCCAACGGGAAGGTGATCCGGTGGACAGAGGTGGGTCAGTCAGCCCAGCACTGCAGCCAGCAGTGCACCCCCAGTCACCCCAGGAAAGCAGGCTGTGCTTCCCCACGAGGCTGTGGTGCCTTTCCTGCCTGCACAGGGAGCTGCACCGTGGCATCCTGCGGGGTAAAGCATCCTCCCCCTGACACAGCCACAGCCCGTGCTGCACCAGCCACCACTGCTCACATCAGGGTGTTCAGCATGGGGGGGACCACAACACCCACTGCCTTACACACAGGAACAGTTGGTTTCATTTGCCTTTGTGTTAAAAGCTGCCTTTCTACATGGAGACAAATCTTAATATAAATTGTTTTTTAGAAATGTTATTTTGAGCTACTTTCTCTAAAATGTTGCATGTTAAAGTGCTGTGGCATAAATCATGCAGAAACTGCTTGCATGGCTGATGTTGGCTGTGACTCTGCCAACATACAAATGCTGGTGTCAAAATATTTCTTTAAGTGTTTCACTTTGCCTGCTGAGGAGGAACCAGGTTCCTTATTCTGCAGCTTGGCCCCTGTGTGCCCTTTTTTCCCAGTTCACTCAGGCTCAACAGAAACAAGATCAGTGGCAAAAATAGCAGAGATCTTCGGGCTTGTATTAAAAGTGTAATTTTTCTGAACTTAGTATCTGTTTAAAACCAGGTTTTTATTAAAACTATGTGCAATACATAGTGAACTTCCATAGCAAGGCTTTTGACCAGATCTAAGAGGTTTCAGAGGACTATTTAAATTTAAATCTTTCTTCTGAAGTTTGGTTTTTTTTCTCCCTAAGGTGACTTGCCTTTAGTGGGTTTTGCTGGGCTCCTCTGAACAGTTACTTTTTAAATCTTCATTTTTAAAAGTTTAAATGACATCTCACCCGAATTTTCTAGAAAAGCCAAGTGTTGTGTCTTGTGTTGATTCTTCCCTTCAGGTGTTTTTTCTAGAAAATGATGAGCAACACAATGGTCTGAGTGACCCAGCTGATCACAGCAGACTGACTGAAAATGTGGCAAAAGCTTTCTGTCTGGCTCTGTGTCCTCATCTGAAACTGCTGAAAGAGGATGGAATGACGAAGCTGGGTCTGCGTGTTACACTGGATTCAGATCAAGTAAGTCTTCAGTAGTTTGAGTTTAACTGGGGGGTTGTTCTCTTGTTCATTCCCCAGAACAGGAATACAACACTTAAACCAGGAGAATGCTGAAGCAGTACCAGAATCAGATGCTCATCAGATGGTGCTGGCTGCTGTTTGGTCTTCTGTTAGATCCAGTGCTCAGCCTGAATTAACATAGGTTTGACCCCCATATGGCACAAGCAGCACCTGCTCTGTGCTCAGAGAAGATTCCTAATTGGCCTTTTTGCCAGCAAATGTGAGGGTCCTGCTCATCCCAAGGAGCTGCTTTGAGAAAACAGAAAAAGCTTCCTTTTGCTTAGGCATCCACTGGGAAGACAAGCACAAAGTCAAGTGGAAAAGCTGCTTTAGTGCCTGCTCGATCCAGTTCAAGTTCCTGACTTCCCTGGGAGATACCACAGCTCCTTCTCCCTTCCTGCCCCCTGACTCACAGCCTCATGTCCTGTTCTTAAAACCCACTCTTTGTATTTTTTAGGTTGGTTATCAAGCTGGGAGCAATGGACAGCCACTGCCCTGTCAATACATGAATGACCTGGACAGTGCCTTAGTGCCAGTGATTCATGGAGGGGCCTGTCAGTTGAGTGAGGGGCCAGTCATAATGGAGCTCATCTTTTATATTCTGGAAAACATCTCATAAGAGGACTTCATTTTCTGTTCAGACCTGTTCCAGCAGCAGTTGTATCTGAATCATTTGCACTTTAAAACTGGAAAATTAAGCTTTTGTTAACACTATTGGGGAAGGGGGGGAGGGGGGTGGGACAGTTGTTCCATAATTCTAAATCTTCTATGCATTGTCAACAACCAGAGGATCAGGGCAGCTTCTATACTACAACATGGCTATGTTATCCTTGCAGCTAATCCACTTCTGTTACTGTTTAGAAAAATGCTCATGTCTAAAGACTTACAGTCATGTACTCTAAATGCTCAAAGGGTGCAAAGATCTGGGGCATAAATAAAAAGTGGAATTTCAACCTTGTACTGTCTGTAGATGGACATGTAAGAAACAATCAAGACCTCCATTCTGACCTCATCCTAATGCCATTTGTGGTTATTCTATAGACATTAAAAAGTAATGTTTACATTGTTTTGACCAGATTATTGGTTGAAATAAGTTTGGAGAAGCCCTTGAGAGATAGGGAAAGATTCCCTAACCATAACCCTGTTTGTGCATCCAGAGGAGCAGGACAGGCATCTCTCTGCAGTTCTGTGTGTGTAATAGGCTAGCTTCCTTTTCTCCTCTACCACAAAAGTCTGTCACTTTGGGCAGGTTTCTGTGATCTCCTACAACTCTGCTATTCTGTACCCTGTTTACAAATATGTCTGAAGCAGAGGCAAGATCAGCCCTAAAGTGCAGTTCCATCTTGTTCCTTGTCCCCAGTAGGTCCTGCTTTTTAGAGGCAAGTCCCACCCAGGGCAGCTCTGTCCCCTCCCTGCTGTTTGCTGTAGTGTAATGCCAGTGTCACGTAACCCAGGCCAGCTTGTACTTCACACTGCAGCCCCATGTCCAAGCTTACCTGTGATACCAGTGTAGAGTGGCTGTTCCTGCATGTTCTGCTGAAAAAGGCTTTGTGGTCAGTTCTGAACATGTGCACTCGGCCCAGTGCTCTTGGTCTCACCTGAGGGCTTTGGCAAGGAGAGCAGCTGCTCATGTCTGCCAGAGCATTAAGCAGCTGGAATTGAGCATCAGCCAGAGGAAATGTGGTTCCATGTTCTTACTGTCTCCATGGAAAGCTGCTAACCAGTGGCAAGAGCTGTAAGCAGGAGAAGGGGTTTGGTTTGTTTAGCCAGTCAGGCAAAGCAGCTCGTTTGAGTTCATCCCAGGAAGAGGGGTGAAGGTTCCTCCTCCTGATTAGAACAAATTAATTTGAGAAGAGAGGTGCTAACTAATGGTGAACATTTGTGGTATCAGGCACCCCCTATTGCCATCCATTCTGGGGGTAAGCAGCAGGGCCTGGTTGGGCTGTGCTGTGACAAAATACCACCAGTGGCCTTGCAAAGAGAAAGAGAAATGCCAGGCCACTGAGAGACTGAAGCTCTGGTTTTTAAACAAATCAACACCATTGTCTAGGCAAGGGAAAGGTAACTGCAGAGAGTGATAGGTTTTATGGAAAGGCAGCCCAGTGTCTGCACAGAGTGCACTTGGGAATAAATGGCTGTTGCTTTTCAAAAAGCCAAAGTATGAAAAATCCAACGTTCCAAGTAATAACTGGCATGACCCAGCCAGGGAACTGGGGCCAACTCCACAAACAAAAGCTGGCCAGCAAGAGGGAGCACACTATCAGACTTTAAAGGGTGTCAGATCCAAGTGAAGCCTTACCTCTGGCACTGGGAGAGGCTGGGTGATTAATGCAGCTCATTTAGTGGTTCCTGCTGGCCAGAGTAGGAGCTGTGACCCACCCCTGCTCCTGCCGAGGTGCCTGTGCAGCCCAGCTGGACTGAGGCCACTTGATCCCCCTCTGCACCCTGGTTCTGCACACTCTGGGACACAGCTTGGCACGACACGGTGTAGGCACAGTTCCACAGCTGGAGGAGCATTCCAAAAACTTGGTAATAATCTTCCTCCTAGAGCCTGCACTTCAGCTTTGCCACAGCAGCAGCTTTCCAGTTACTTCAGTTGCATTGTTAGGCTTAATAATGCAGTAAAGAGGTGAAAAATGTTTATCTTCTCTTCCTTTGCCCCAGAAGTCTTCTAGGTTTGGATTCTGTTTGTGCAAAACACTATCAACTGGTGACTGACATGTCTGCTTCAACCATAGCCTTTGAAATGACCTTAATTACCATGTTGTTAAGAAATGAGTACTTGTTTAGAAAAAAATTGTACTTTTAAAATTCAGTTAGTTAACACTGCAAAAAACTGCATATTATATTTTTATTTTCAACATGTAGTTTTGTATATTAAATTTATTGAAATTAAAAACTAAACACTGTATTGTCTTCATCTGCTCAGGAAGACAGAGGCAGATCTGCCTGACCTGTGTGGACTCTGTTCTGTCTCCCAGCCTGCCCATCCCTGGCACAGGCACATTCTCCCCTTGGAGATCCCTGGTTTCTGTTAGCTCACAGAAATTTAAAAACACAAACAGATTTAGTACCTTCTTGTATGCTGCTGATCAAAAAGCATTCCTGAAAATAAGTCACGATCCAGTTTTCTTAAAGGACAAAGTGAGACTATTTTCCCCATCACCTGGAAGAATTGTAAAAGCCTATTTTTGTAAAAATACAAGGAACATTTGGGAAGCAGTGGAGTCTAGTGTACTTTTTCTTTCATTTTACATTAAATGAATGAAGGCACAGTACCCTTCTGTGCTGGACAAGCAGTGCAGCAAGCACAGCACACAACTGGGAGCCAGAACAAAAACAGAGGTCTGTAAACACCAACCTGCAGGGGAGCCCTGGGGCCTTTCCTTCAGAAAGGGACAGCCCTTGGAACCTCATGTGCCAAGGGTGTGCACAGAGGAGGGACTGGCACCCCTGAACTGCTGCCCGAGAGCTCTCCTCTGATCTAGGAAACAAAAAAAGACCCCAAACCAAACAGGCCTGGATAGGAGAGGACAGACAAAGCAGGAGCAGACTGTTCACTGAACCACACCGGCTGCTCAGACACTTGGGAATAGGAATTCTGGTGAAGGTCTTACCTGTGACTTAACCAAAAAGCTCTGGCACTGCCACAGGGAATTTTTAAAGGGCTAAACCTTTCCCACAGCACTCTGCATAGTTAATGTAACATTCGTCCTGGTGCTACATCAGTAGTCCCACATTAAGGCAATTCTGTCTATTTTGGGTAGAGCGGTCCCAAGCCCTGCAGCAGCGCATTCCCAGAGCCTCCCGTTTGCCTTGGAGTTATTAATAAGCACTATGGCTGTTATCAAAATAGACATTAGGTTCAGTAGTGCATTCATTTAACATCTTTGGTGCTTGCAGCTTAGCAGCATCTTCCTGCCTTCACTCAGCCCACGACTTCCAACATTCCTGCGGATCTGGGGAAAACAACACAAACAAACCCATCAGAATTCCTTGCTGCAGAGTAGAACAGATGTTCACAGTTCAAGGAGACATTATATGGCAAGTGCTGACACCAAGGTTCTGGATGGTCAACGAGGAAAATCAATGGAGCAAAATTATTAAGCTCCAGCGATGGAAAGTGCCTGGGCATGAGGCCAAGTTGTTACTTCAGGTATGGTCATCAAACGTGTCCCACAGCCTGACTGGAGCTCACGGGATCTCCTGACCTCCTTGGCTGGGAGGAAACCACTAAAACAGGCCCTTTGATACCCAAATGGTAACTCTTGTATTGAAATGAGACCTCAGTCTCTACAATCTGGTACCATTTGCCACATCTTTGCTTCCAAACAGGTGATGTCACTCTGAAGCTGATGAATATTTGCTTAACTGCCATTTAGAAATGTAAAGTGAAACCATATGCTAAGGAAGAGGGAGCACAGAGGCTTCAGGAGATCAAGCAAAGGAAGAAGGATTACTTATCACTTATTTTCTAAATAATATTCTTAGTAAAGGCAACAGCAGGAGTTGTCCCTGTATTTCAAGTGATTGTGAAACAGCATCTTTTGAGATACAAACCAATCAGAGATTCTGTAACCTCATTTATGAAATTATGTCAACTCTCCACCACAAATATAAAGAGGAATGCTACTGAGGTCAGAGTAGTGTAATTAGGTCAATGCCAACATTGACCTTTATTCAATTATCCAAGCAGAGCTTCCTTGTCAAGTCCTGCCCAGACCATGTCTGGACACAGTGTTCATACCTCAGACAAAACTAACGTTCAAGGACCAGCCAATTCTCTGTAACTGTTTGAAGATCTTGACCACTTAGGGGCTCCCTGAGTCTCACTTTTACCTCCAGTTTCCCTCCAGTGGGCTTTCTGCCATCAAAAATCTGAAATAACCACAAAAAGAGCAGTTAGGACAAATAGGGATTATAATGCTAAACTATAGAGCCTCAGGCAACTGTGAGTGTATCTGCCCATGGCCTGAGGGTGACAGAGATCCCTGCAGGTGACTGCAGTGCTGGGAGTGTCACAGCCAAGCACTTCCTTGGACTGGAACTCAGCAGAGCACGTCCCCCACAACCCAGGCAGGTTATCAAATTCACCTGAAACAAAACTCAACTGCACTCACACATTTATGTGATCTAGATACTCATTTCCCCTTTGGGTTGAAATACTGAGCAGAAGAACACACCTCAACCCAAAAACCTACCTCAATGATCTCTCTAACTTCACATTCTGATTCCAACTTGTCCAGCTTCAAGTGTGCTGTCCCCACGTGTTTGTCACTTCTGAAAAAGGATCTGTGCCGAAGAAGTGAAGGGATAGACTGTCAGAACATTGAAGAGAAAACAAGCCCAGAGGTCATCACTATCTGCTCCATCCCCACATCCAGAGAGGGCTGGTCAGGACATGCTCCTAGAACCCTGCACACCACAGTGCCAGAGGCAAACCCTTAAAAACAAGACTACAAGGAACAAGATAAGAAAGTACTCATTTGTTAATTATTCTTTTGCAACCAAGGTAAAGATGAGGACAGCAGTGAAGAAAAACAACCAACTAAATCAGCACTTGGAGTGGCAGCAGCTTCTGTCCCTGCCCAGGGTGACAGGGAAGGAGGTCCCAGTGGCCAGGACAGGGCCATCCTCTGCTTGGGACTGTTTAACAGAATAGGCTGAAGGAATTCCCAAAGAAGTTGCATCTCCCAGCAAAACAAACATTTCACAGGCACCTGTTTCTTTTGGCAAACTGCTTTTAGGAAACAGTCACATGAATCATTCTGTTTCGTCTTGATAAATCAAAACAACTTCAGTAAATAAGAACGTTTCAGCTATTGTTTTGATTCACCTACATTCTGGTAGTTTTAACAGTCAAAACCTATAATTTTAGGATTTCCAGTCTGCTGGAATTAAGGACAGAAGCATTTTTATCTTGTGAGGAAAACAAGCAACTGCCTGCTGTAGTCACTTGTGTTGAACAGTTTAATCGGCCATAAGTCAATCTTCACCTGCACAGAGAGAGGTGTTACAACCCTTACCCAGACCAACTCCTCTAAAAGGCAACAACCAAGACTAAACCACCCTAATTCCACAGAACTGTTCAGCTCAAAGCACAGCATTTCCTTGCCTGCATCCAAGCATCTCCCTGAACCAGCCTCCAAAAGGCTTGATAAACAACTAAACTCTAGAGTCTGGAGTTAAAAAAGATAACTCAGCCACACCTTCTGTGTTTTCTTGGAAATTTTCCAAGATTTCAGAAACTTCCTTTTTTACCCACTCTATTTCAGGAAAAAAACAAGCAACCAAACCAACAAAAGTAAAAAACCCATCCCCCACAGCCCCAAAACATCCACCTTTCTTCCTACTATCATTAAGAGATACTAAGATACTATAAAGCAAAACTTGACATATTCAATGGAAACTCAAATACTGTTATGGAACGTCATGATCACATCACTGGTGGCAACAGGAGACTGAGACTCTCAATCAGTGAGGCCACAGCAGACTCACAGAATAATTTAGGAAAGTTCAGAGTTTCTTAGCTCACATGTTGGAATACTTTCTTCACAAGCACCTTAAAATGTAGGGTTATGTAATTCTACTGCAGCATGTGGGGCACTTTGCTCATAAACTTCAGAGAATCAGCAATTCTTGCTCAATTTTTTAAAGCATTTTTCCATTTTATAATTCAAGAAACAATAAAGACTGGTTCATCCCTGCTCAGTTCCAGGGGGCTGCTGTGAAGACTGAGAACTTGCTCTAGGCTATGGCTTCAGAAACAGCTCTGGGGAAATCCCCTTTCATCTTCAGAAGCTTTTAGGAGAGGCTCAAGAAGAGACTCTTCCTTTGGAAAAATACATTGCTGAGTTTTCACTTGAAAGTGTTGTTAAACTAAAGTTTAATATATATGACCTGAAACAAGTCTCCTTTGCTCACTGAGCAAAAATAATTCTTGGGAGATGGTCAAGGAACTATCAGAGACCCCAAAGCTACAACATCCACAAAAGCATTTCTGGAAGTATTATTCATTTGTAGTCTTAGAAAAGACAGGGAGCAGACAGTCTTAAGAAAAGAGCCTGGATCACTTCATCCTCTCCTTTCTCCCACGGAGATGGCTGGGAGAAAGTGACAAAAACCCCATTTTAAATAAATGTAAACACTTTCTGAGCTTTTACAAAAAGAGGGGGGATCTTGAACACAGAGCAGTCAGGACTAACAGGAGAAAAAAAAAAAAGAAAATCAACATTTGCTTCAACAGAGACACCAATGGATGATCTGGAGTAAAACAGTGGGACTTCAGGTCACAAACTGAAACATCTGCAACTTGGAAACCATCTCAGAAAACCTATGGACAATTTCTGCATGGCCCAGTAATAGCAACAAGGAATAGGACAAAGAGCCACCAGACAAAAAAACAGGTTATCTGGCATCCCATCACAGTCCTGGATCACAACTGACCAGGGATGAGGGAATACAGGCCACTCCTACTCTGAATAACTCAGTTATGAGCCTGAACTGAGGATGATCTCCCTAAACATTGTTAACATTCATTTTGTGATCCTGCTCCCTGAGATGAGGGGAGTCTGTCTCTCTCAAGGCAGCTGCCAGCAGTGCTCAGAAGTATTGCAAGATCCAGTGAATGAAAGTACAAAACCGTAACTCTAGTTCTGCCATCACCTGTCACCTGCTTTCCTGCCAGCTTTCCTGCTGTTCATATTTTGCTGCCACTTCATTATTCTACAGAATTATTCCACAGAATATTTAAATTTTCTAGTCCTGATGACTGAAACCAAACTGGGTAAGAATCAAAACAATTTGAAGTAAATCACTGCTTTCTCAGTCCCACCAACTCCTTTAACACACTAATCCTCAGCTGATCTGAAACAACTTCACTCAATTTGTGCCTGCCTTCACCCCCAGAGTGGAAGCTACAGAGCTCAGGCACGTTTTGAAAGCTCTCAGACATGAGTACCAGACAACTCTTCAGTACTGGCTTAGAGATTGTGCTTCATGAACTTCAGCTCCAGCACTCTTCAGCTGTTAGCAGAGAAGCAAACTGTGGACTCACCCTTTGTGAAACACTTCAAATTTAATTCCTTTGGAGCGAATTGCGCGCCGGAAGCCTCGGTGGTTCCGGTTGATGTTCAGCTTGAACAGCTGGTTGTACTCTGCAAGTGAAATAAAGCACAGGGGAAGAAAGCTGGGAGTCAAATGGTGTGCAGGGCTCTATTCCATGCACCTGTTCAGAGCTCTTTTATCTCAGTTTGGCCCACAGGAATCCTCCTCAGGAAGGTCATTCAGTCAGGCCCAGGGTGTGTCCATCCCTGTGCCACAGTTCATGTCACCCTCACCTTACAGGGACAGAAACCAAACTGCAGGAAAACCAAGCCTTTGTGAGCTGACAGCAAGGTACTGGAGAGCTAAAACTAGAGAATATAGGTCTTTCAGAAAGTAAACAGGGTTTGTGGCTAAAGAGAAAGGTACAAAATATCAAAGAAAAAGCAGAGTTAAGGCTGGAATGACTGGGAAGGGGTGTTTTGGATAATATAATTAATACTGGTTTAATTCTTGACATAACAGCTACCATTAATGTTGGGATGAGGGGGAAGAAATTACCAATGCAGCTGGACTTCACCCCCCAACAAACCCTTTCATAAGAAAGAAGAAAAAAGGTGGCGGGTGGATCTCTGTCCTGGTTCACAGTCTGCCACCAGCCCATACTGACCAGGGATTCCCAAGGTGCAGCATTTTCCCTGCTGTTCCATTAAAAAGGACTCACCTGGACAATTG